TGTATATATACATATATATATATATATATATATATATATATATATATATATATATATATTCTTAGTGATTCTAGACAATAGTTAGACTTACACAAATTACAGATTTATTCACTAGGTTGTTAGTTTAGTGGTGTAGCGTGCGGCAGTTCTCCTGTCACGTACCCTATCTATATAATCGAATATGTTTGTTAGTAATATTATCAAAATACTCCCATAGTAGTCTTGCCCTACAACCGTGGTCATTACTACACAATATTTGATGATGACTCATCACTGAGCCCAAAATCGAGTCTCTCAAATCTGAGACCCTCAGGCCTTCCTATATTGGGTAACCCTAATCCTGACCCTTCCCCTGGTCCCAGGCTTAGGTTCCACCTAACAAACGTCTAATACTCCTGGAGTTACACCCACAGGCTAATACCCCTAAGGTTCCACCTACAGTCAATCACTATATATATATATTTATATATATATATATGAAATATTTTCATAGATTATATATTTTGGCTTTCTTATAAATGTATATATATATAATATTTTTTTTATAGTTCAATAATTTTGGCATACTAGTATCAGTTACATGTGCCTGCAGTTCCCCAATTCATCGTCGCATGTTGTCACTGTAGCATCCTACCTAATAGACTTGGGTATATTGAGAAGCACTTGCCTTTACTGTATAAGTAGACGAACGTACTATATGCATATGCGAGTACCAATCATATGTGAACATGGATTCCCACAAATAATACAGACTGACCAAGGCACAGAATATGTTAACAACATATTTTCGAAAGTTGTTGAACAGGCGCCAATGCAACACCTAGTCTCTGGGCTGTATCAACCTAAAGTATTAGGCGCGAACGAAAGATCACATAGAGACCTTATGCCACTGCTACGGAAATCGTCGAGCAAAATCCAGGTAACTGGTGTTCACGATTTCCATTTGTACAGATCGGCCAGAATTTGCATCCAGATGACACAAACCACTGCGGTTTAATGTGTACTTTGGTCGCAGACAGAATCAACTCACGGACTACAACGAGCAAGTGACCGCACCCAGTACAACAGTATCTTGGGAAGAGCGATTGCAAAATCTAGAAGAAGCCATCAGGCCACAACTAGACGAGAATGTTGCACTGTATCAAGAGCAGATGCGCGCAACATACGATCGAAAATACCAAAGGAAGTATGTAAACGTCCATGAAGGGACTTTTGTCATGGTTCGTTATCAAGGCGAAATGAACAAGTTAACAGCACCAAATGGCGGACCATACAAAATAATATGCAGGGAGGGCAACGGGTATTTTGTCTGTATCATTGATGAGACTAAAGCCCCCGAATATCCTGACTCGATCAGTGATGAGCTACTTGGACTTGTAAAAAGGGCTAGTGCTCCGGAAGCATTTACTTTTGATCACAATAAATCAAGATTGTTTACCAAGCATAAAACTACGGTCAAACACTGGAGGCTCAACAAGGTTTATCCCAGCATCAACCAAGGAGAGAATCTAAACTCAGAGAGGGACACAGAAATATGGCAGATGGAAATTAATCTCGGAGCCAAAGTACCGGGAGTACGGAAACATCATTATAGAAAATCTCTGATGGGCATAAAGGCATCCCTAAATATCGGAGGAGTACAATCTAAACGTATAAGGCCAAAGATTACAATGGAAGCCACGATCAGTTGAAGGCGTGGCGACACTGCCTTTAGATTGGATCATAGATTAAGTGAGAACCTTTTTCACCCTAAGAGGTGTTTTTTAATGGCTCAAGGATTACGAATCCAATGCATATAAAAGCAGGGACTCAAATCAAATAAATCACAACTATTCACATAAAACTTAAAACACTTTAAGATACTTTAATATCTGAGAACAATATTTGCTTCCAACAATCACGTACAACCAAACGGAGAGACTCAGTTCTCTTCGATTGTCGACGACAAGCCGTCCATCCGAGGTGATGGATCCCAGAAGTACCTACTGCAATGGACAGATGGTGAGCGTACCTGGACGCATGAATTAGACATCGCAGATACTGATGTCATTACAACATACCGTCAACGCCATAGAAGTAAAAGAAGGGCAGTCAGGGCCAAAGGAGCCAGCGACGACGAAACCTGATGAAAGGTCAGCAAGCCACAAAAAGCGCACGAGGCGGGGACCTAAGCAAGTCTCACCGATGCCACGGGACACTCTCACTTTTCTCGCCTTGAAGCATGTTCCATCCACACACCAGGCGGTTGTGCCCCTCTTGGTGGAACGGTCGGTGTCATTCATTTCGACTGTGTGTCCCCCCATCGGGTATCGTTGTTATGGGGTCCACGGTTCGACATCCGAGCTGTTGTTCTCGTCTGTGCCTTCTGAATGTCCGGGCTAAGGAGCTATCACGGACCAGGGCACGGGCCGAGTCTTCAGTGGCCAGCAGGCGACGTATGTCCGCCTCCAGCTTGAACTCACGCTCGCCATCATACATACGGTCTGTAGCCATAGTGTATGGGCCAAAGCAACCTTGACCATGGCTTCGGCTGCCGATGATGATCAGTAGTAACATCATACACTTCACCGCCTGACTGCTGTGCAAACTCAGTAAAATCTTTGGCCATAAACACTGAGTCTTTGTCACACGCTTATAGCTTGGGCTGGCCCCACGGGTGAACAACCTTGTTAAGGAACTTTATAGTAAAAGTCCCCTTAAACCACTATCAGTGTGGAGTTAGAACTAGTTTACAATTAATTCACACGAGGTGAATTATTTGTAGACCAAGTAGACAATCAAAATAAGAATAAATACACCGCACTGAGCCTCAGGGAGACTCAGTAGGTTTTAGTATCGTATTTTGATGTGTTTACTACAATTCGTCAGATTTTTGCTGACGAGTGCCCGAGGCCCACCCTGACATATTGCTATGCCGTTGGACTGGTCGCTCATTCTCGTTGCCTGCGATGGAATCCTGACTTGCAATGGTGAAACTTCCCGATCGATTTTTCAGGTGCCCGGTGAAAAGACTGCCATGAATGAGGTTTATCACCCGCTGAATGAATGCCCGAGGTACCTCGGACGTTGGCTACCCTATGTCGCTCAGCTGCTGGTTTAGCAGACTTTGAACGACTAGTATGACTAACCACAAATTGCACCTCACTGTCTTCTGGATCTGCTCTCCCTCTTGCCGATAAGCGAGACCCGTGCCCTAACTGATGTTGCCTGCTTGCTTCCTGGCGCATGTCTTGGTCTATCTGTTCATATCGCGGTTGTTCATCTCTTGGACGCGATGCTACTGTCTGGCGCGAAGAGGCTGTGCCTCCTTGGTGGGTCTGCTCGAAATCTGACAAGGATCTCTGGGTTGCTTTGCCGTCGCGACGAGTGCGTCGAGGGCTGCGGGGTGCTGGACGCATAGGCATCTTGAAGCTAAGACTTCGATGTATGGCTTTGTGTTGTTGATGAATAGTTGGTCCAGATTCAAGGAGTGTCGGCTAATATATAATAGTTGAACTCAGCTATTTGTGTTACACACTTTCTTCCGGCGTCCTCCTCTCGTGATACCAAAATAGCTAATTATCATTGAATCATGCTGATGTCTACCAGGTCTGCTTGCGAGTCCCCGAAAACTCGTTGCGCTCGAATACACCTTGCTCCTTAATGATTGCTAATCATTTTGTTTGGTTTGGTTTTGTAAATGAGTACTCGTTTTGCTCTCCTTTGCTCTGCCTATAGTAGTCATTAAGAGTTGCTGATAGTCTCGAAGAAGCGTGTTCAATGAACAACCGCCTGTCGTGTTCTAGCGGTTTGAATGCTCCCTTAATCCAATCTTCGGACCACTGTACTCCAACAAAATCAAACCCGAGGCCTGCAGCCATGAAGTTCAGGTCAAGGTTCATAAGTATAACCTTAAAGCCTAAGGTAATTACATCGGGGTTTCCCTATTCAAACCAACTTGAGTGTGCTTGCACGATACCTGATAAGTGCTGTTTACTCTTGCAGGTACTATTTCTTCTGTTCCTTGCAAGAGTCCGCTGCATCATGACGATTCGCCTTATACGTCGGCGATAACGTTCTCGTTCTCCTTAGTTTTCACCAACAATCATTCAACCGTACCATGCTACTTGCTGGTCCTACGGCTAATTCACTTACGTTGACATCCTTCCTCTAGAATGAAAATTCAAGTATACATACATATATATATATATATATATATATATATATATGTGGGATCCTCTAGAGCGACCCTCAAG